GATATAGTTAGGCTAGTACTAGTACGGATGTCATTGTTGTCTTGAGGGTATTAAAAGCCTTAATAGCTTGATTAGTCTAATTGAAATTATCTTTTGTAGCAAAGATATCAAAGGTTTACTAAGTAACCCATACCCCTTAATAAATCTTCCGTAATACCCTACTAAGCCTAAGAATCCCCTCATCCGCTTCGATTCTTAGGAATATGCTAATTCACCATAGCTTGGATCTTCTTCGAGTTAGTAGAAACACTATGTGCCAAGATATAATGCACCAAATATTTAATTTTATCATTACTAAAAACATAAATAGTTAGTTTAGCAAATAGTTTACGGGATTACAAGAGTGTCAAAATTATCCTCAACTAGAGAATGTGATCCTCTAGAGTATCATTGTAAATCAAAATGTCATAAAAAAAAATCAGTATAAACTTCCTCAAGTAAGCCCTAAATAGATTATTCATCAAGCTTTAAGAAATAGTCAGGGCATTAATAAGGCCAAAGGGCATAGCTTAGAATTTATAATGACCATTGTGGGTTTTGAAGGATGTTTCGACATATCAAGATGAAATATTCTAATCTAATGGTATCTAAATCAAAAATTAATTTTTGAATAGATAATATCCCAATGTAGTTTCTCTAATAACTCATTAAAGGAATAAGGAACTTATCTTTGATAGTGATGGCGTTTAATGTTTGATAATTAACACATAACCTCTATGAACAATCCTTTTTAAAAACCCGTTACCACCGGAGAAACAAAACGGCTTACATTGTGTTGAATAATTCATTGGCAAGCATTTCATCCACTAACTATTCTACCACATCATTCTATAACCCCGAGCATCTATATGGTCTTTTACTTATAAGTCGAGCCCCTTCTTGGAAGGGTGCCATATGATCATAGGACCTAGTTGATAGCAATGTCTTAAGCTCTAAAAATATAATATGGAATTCAACTAAGAGGGCTACAATGGTTGGGGGTTGCTACTAACATGTAATAATTGTTGTCATACTTTCCTCTCGTTGGTGGAACTAACTCAAATGGAGCAATGCTGAAAAGGTGCATATGTAACACTTGGGTGGAGTTATACAACAACCTTTGCATTTGTGAGCTCAAAAGGGGTTTTTAGTTTAGCATCCGAGTGTCCTCTTAGTTTAATTTACTTACCACTCTATTAAAATCTCATTTATAGTTCTTGATAGTTAGAGACAATGTTCCCAAGTTGAGATAACCATTGTACTCTCAAAATCATGTCACCGTTAGAGATCTATCACTAACACATATGTACAAAATTGAACTCTTTGCATAACCGACTAAAATCCTTTAACCTCCATAAATAGAGGCTTGATAAGAGATAATTTGCAACCTAATTTTTTTGATGTAGTCAAATTTAAGAAATCATTAGCAGAACCAAAACCCACTAGAATGTGTAAGGTCTTGTTGTTCATGTGACCCATAATTCTTAAGGTTTTAAACTCTAGTCCTTTAGTGGCATTGACAAAAATGTGAGAAAGAAGGTCCTCTTATGATTCTTCATTAATCTGTTGTTCCTTTACCACATTTAGTTCCTTAACATCATCCTCATCAACTATTTGAATGGAGGAAATATGTTTTTGTTTACATCTATATCTTATAGGATAGGTCTCATCACACCAAAAATATTAGTTTTTAGCTTTTTTCTTATCAAACTCCTTGTTAGTTAGGGTTTTGGATTGACATGATTTTTTTTTTTTTTTTGTGGTTAGTTGTATAAGGTTTTGGGTTATATGTATAGGGTGTGGTGGTCATAATGTTATATGGGAGTCCGACAACTAGGCTAAATTTGGTGAATAGAAATGGTATTTTGGTTTTGTATATTGGTAGGGTTTTTGGTAAGTTTTTGAGTGAGTTTTCTTAATGTAGATATTAGTATTATCCTACTTAATAGCTAGATCATAGGCTTTAGTGAGGATTTAGGGCTTAAATATTGAGAATAGACCTTCAACATCCTCTCTTAACCTAGCTAAAAACATGTTTAGAGCTTGTTGTTCATTAATGGCAACTTTGTTACACAAGACATATATATATATATATAAATCGGATGTTTGAGTGAGAGTTTTCATTTGACCTTATAAATCTAATATTACTTCAAATCTGTTTATCATTGTAGATATGTACTCATTCTATGGTAGTTTTCTTCCCAAGCTTTGAGTGTAGGCTTAATGCCAATGCAATACTTTTCCATCTAGGAGAATAAGGCACATTGAACCTTTTTGTAATCATCTATGGGTTTAATCTCAAAGAACTGGTTGTATTTATATAGCCATCTATTGACATCTTTCCTTTTAAATACTAGAACATCCTTTTTTTGGTTTCTTGGGTTTATAGTAGTATTTGAACTCAAGATTTGGGTTACGGGATTTATAAAGAACATGGCTATGAGTGAAAGGTTGAGGGAATGGAAGAAGCATTGTGGTTATAGGTGTGGATAGTATAGGATTTGAGGGTGATGGTGATTGTTATGGTGAAGGCTGGAATACCTTGTTGTGTGGAGGAAGTGGACTAATATTGTTGGTTGGTTATCGATGGTTGGATGAGAAAGCCATCGAGTGGATAACGAGTTTTAATCTTTGCAAACCCATGTTTTTGTTGCTTATGAACTTGTTCCCATTTTTCTAAATGGTTTCTCAATCCTTGAGCCATTGCTTTAAACTTTTTAGAGGTGTCTTGAATCATCACCTTGAAAGCTTTTTCTATCTTGTTAAGATCATCAAGTTTTCCTTATTTAGCCATGGTGATTATGGTCCAGGAAGTAGCAGCTACGATACCGATTGCTACTAGATAAAACAGAAAGGAGAAAAAGAATATAGAAGAGAGGAAGAAGGCGGAAAGAAAGGAGAAGAAGAAGAAAAATTCGTTAAATTCTTGTATATATTCCATTATGTGTTTTTGTTTTACCTCTTATACTAGTTATTCTTACTTGACAATAATAGATAACTCTAACAAGCCTATTCTAACATTAATGGTCCAAGCCTAAATGCACCTTAAGCTCTTAGTGGCAATAACCCCAAATTTGGCATAAACATTAATTAGCCCATTTTTACATACAATTGGTAAATTCCTAATTCTCAAATCAATTAATTTTCTCCCCCAATTCCATTTTGAGTTCTTCTACAAGTATCAAAATAATCAAAAAGCATACTAGAAACCATATCTTTCGTTGTGAGTTCGAATTTCAAACTCAAAAACATCAACCCTCTAAGCTTTAATTTTGTTTAATATCAACTTGGGTAATCAAAAACTAATATAATATAATGTTTTTTGGTTGTGGGGTAAGTTAGAAATAGATGAGAGATAATGGAATTGAAGTGACATGGTTAAGGTTTCGGAGGGAAAGCACGAGGAATGAAGCAAAAGGGGGAAAATGACTAATTCTCATAATTTTCCAGCCCTTAAACAAAAGCTTTATATATATATATATATATATATATAATCTTAAAACTCACTTCTAATCTTTTATTTGAGACTCACAATTTTCATTACTATGATCCATTTTACTTAATAAATCCAATCAAGTTCAACTAACTCTAATTATATCACTTTTTTTTTTAATCTCAAAACACAATTAATCTCAAATACCTCACATAATAAAAATAATTAAAAGATATCAATCACATGTATAAAACATGTATAAAATAAAAATGAAATTAAGACATACACATATATAATATGAAGAAGAAAATTATGAGTGTCACAATTGCCAGCTTTACTTTAATGAGTTAATTAATAATTAAAAAATCAATTTTTGTAGTTTTAAATGTAGATTCGTTGTTAATTAAGCTATCTATCTGGTTATAGTAATTTATTAAATGGATGGAGCCATTTTTGAGAGAGACCTTGCGAGTTTGGTTATAGGTTGGTAGAACCTTTTCCTTCCGTTTCTTTCTTTTTCTTCTCGTTTCATATTTTATTAAGGACGCCCATTACTTGCCGCATAGAGAATCTTGGAAGAGCGAAGGAATACAACGTGTTCTAAATACACCAGTCATTTGTCAGTGAAAAAACGCCCGTCCGGGCAGATTTCGAAGCAGATATTACAGACATTTGCTTGTCCATCAAAATCAGCGCAATTGCACAAAAAACTGCTTACCCTAACCTCCTCCTCCTGCAAGTGAGAGGGAGCCAAGCTAGTACAGCTACGACAATAGCCTGTTTCTCAGACAGATATCAGGGACCCACCCCCATACGTGTATCTGTGTTGAGTTTGAGTCGTACAATATTTTTTAATACGAGGATAGACTTGTAATTCTACCGGAAACGCAGTCTCCCTCAACTTGAAAAGAAACGAGGAGTTACTTTATTTGTAAAGAAATCAAGGGAATAAAGTGCAATTTTTCTTCAATTTCATGCTTACTGACTTTACACTCTAATAAAATGTAAGTCGACGGAAACTTTGTAAAAAAACAAACAGATGGTCGTAATTTTGAGCAGTCTACCATTCATGGAAAGAAACTAGCTATTGCACGGGTAAAAATTAGGCCAAAATTGCGTACTCCTTCCAAGTTCAAACACCATGCTCACCCCCACGAAAAATTCTGAAAAAATTTAGCGTAAGCTTGACGAGTCTACAATGAATACCCTGTCTAGGCAAAACAAAAACAAATGAATAGAATGCCTTCTGGAGGGGATGTAAATTGTAACTGAGATTTCGGTCAATTTCCAACACACTTGATGGCTGTGCCACTTCATTGTCAGCTGGTATATGTGCATCATTAATCAACCAACCATAGTATTAGTTCATACAAATATTAACAGAATATTAGAAGGCCTCAAAAGATCAAATTTGGATCAACATGTTTCAAGTATCAAGAATAAAAATATGATATGAATAAACAAACACTCCCTAACTTGGAATCAACTATGCACAACACGATTTTCTGCACACTAGACTCTCAAACCGTCTACCAGAAGACCATTCTGGATCATTCAAAAGCTTTAAATCATCGCTCTTGGATAAAATTCAGATTGCAAAACCATCAAGTCTTGCTGTCTCGGAGACATCCATTTCAGCTCCTTGGCATTTCTTCAGCTTTGCAACAAGAACCCACATGTTAGCAAGTTCATTTTCCAGATAAGCTTCTCTTTGTTTGGATTCCTCAACTTTCCTTTGAAGATCAGTCTCTCTTTGATCCTTCTCGATAAGAGCAGCTTCATATTGAAGTTCTCTTTCTCGACTCACAGCCAACTCTCTCTTGAGATCTGAGGCTGCCCCAACTTGGTCTTGGCGTTTCATGTGATTGTCTCTCCGGCCATTTCGAACAGTACTGCCAGTTCTACGCTGAGTGGATGAGTTCTTCGATGCTGTCAGCTCAGCAGTTAATGTCTCATTATGATTCATGAGCTTGGCAACTTCTTCTGATAATGCCTTGAGCTCAACAGCAGCAGCTGAGGCTAGCCCTTTAGCATATGAACTCTCTTCGGCCAATTTTTGGTTCCTAATTTCCAACTGCTCTTTTGATTCTGTTAGTGCAGCAACTTTTTGCTTCAGTTCTTCCATCTCAATGGCCTAATCAAGAAAAGCAACGATTGACCTCATTGTACTTCTATGAGAAATCAAAATTCAAAAGCCATCACATGATGGAAACTATGAAGAGATACAGAAAGCCAAGCAAGGAATTTTCCATCTATATGTCTGCAACTCGCCAAAATCTTATTTTTCTGGATGATCCACCACAAGTAAAAATTGGCAGAAGAATACATTTCTTCATGCAAAATAGTTTCTTTAGTTTAAATAGAACAACCAACCGAGCTTTCTTCTTCTAAGCTACAAGCCATGCTCGGTACATAGTTTCCTAGAGATGGTGATCCTCAAGATCCTACAAGGCTCAATTTTGGTTTCTTAAGATATGAGAACCTTATAGACATTTTAATGGTATTATCAGAAAATTTAGCATCATGAGCTCAGAATACAATTTTCCTTAGTTTCTAAATCTTTTTCCTCCAGTGGGGATGCATGAGAAAGGGAAATGGTGCTTTAGCAACCAAAATAATACTTGATTTGGTGCCAAAAGGTTTAAATACAAACCTGTGCTTGTAGAAGCAAATCTTCATTTCTATCTTTCGATGATGCAGTTTCCTTGTCCCCATGATGTTGTGCATGAAAGTTTTTTAGTTCAGAAATTCGTTGAGAGTAACTAGCTAGAGGGCTAAGATTTTTCAACTCCAGTGCATCTGAGAGCTGCTGCTTCAAAGAGACAACTGTTTCCTGCAATCCTTCACATTCACATATCTGATGGAGAGGCAAAGTCAAGTTAGAGCCTGCCATCAACTGATAACACGACCTGCAAAAGAGTGAAAGCTACACACACACACACACGATATTGTCGATATTGTTAAGTGACTTTTTGACCTTTTGGTTGAGCTGCTCTTGAATTATACGATTATCTGCTGCTTTAACCTGAAACAGTAAACAGCAATACAACAATCATCAGACCAAATTAATAAAACCAGATACTTAAAAGAAAACCACGACTATGGATGGTTGACAAAAAGAAAGTACCCTTATTAAATAAGTTTGTTCACACAACTTAGGTACTATAATCCATGACTGTATAATGTGTTGTATTGTTTTTATTGATGACTCCAATTTGCTATGCAAATGAAAGTTTCCAATTAGTCCAAACAAGCTCAAACGATTCTTTCAAGTTATTATCAGACAAGTTACTATCCATTGCGGAGCTAAAGACAAAAAAAATTCAGGTCAAACTGTATAGGTAGATCACCTCAAGTTCAAATGACTTCTCATTCAATTGTTCTGTCAGTTCAGCAACCGTCTGCAAGCATTCAAGGAGAAACAGCTTAAGGATGGACTTGCAGCCATACACAAGGAGTTTGTACTACAATAAGGGAACTAAACTTACTTGTGATGTTTCCAAGTTATCCATGCTGTTGTGAGAGACCATGATGGAATCAGCAATTTGCCCTTCCAACAAAGCTATTTGTTCATTCTTCACCTCAATTTCATCACTCAACTTCTTCATCTCCAACTTAAAAGCAAAAGCACTATGATGAGAAATTTCTCAACCTGTTCAGAGCAGCTAATCACAAAAGAAGGTATAGAAACAACAGAATACCTGAATCTGTTCTTTCTGGGGATTCCTTGAAGCCTCCTCAGACAATCGCTTCAAAGCACTTGAATGGAGTGCCACCTCTCCAGATAAAATTTTCTGCTGCTCCCTTAGAAGATCAATCTGATCACTTGTTTTTATGCTAGTCTAGAAATAAGCAAAGCATGAAAATTAAACATGCAGACCATGATAATGCATCCCCAACCAAAAAGAAGAAAAAAGAATACACAAGTAAATTAAAGGACCATTAGCATACCAAAGGAGTTTCCTGCCCAAGGAAATTGTCGTCTGGAACCTCTCTCTCCTGCCTGACCTCAGATAGTAGATCAGCTGATGGAGAGCTTTCTGTAAGTAAAGGATGTGAAAGTCTGGATTCTGTATAATAATTATTGTTTTCTGCTTGAGGTGTTGAAGGTGTACTATTAGATTTAACTCCACTTGATTTGTCATTGGTGCTCATACCCAACCTGCTATCTCGTTTCTAATCAAGAACAGTAGATATTTTTAAGATAAAGAAAACTGAATTGTATCAAAGCTGAAATTTACAAGAGGGATGATCCTCCAAAGGAAGGAACTAAAAGAATAAAGACTAAAGGAACTATTAAAAGGAGGGCTCTCCAATCATTTTAGAATCACCGTATCTTATGAAAAAAATAAGTTTAATTAGTATTACAATAGAACCAGTTAAACTCTCAAGTAAAAAAATGCACATAAATCTTTTAAATTATGCATACCCGTAGCTTTAACCAGTTCAGCAATCCATGCTTTCGGGTTTTCTTCTCCTCTTTCAGTGTCTCGTATGCACTTTCAGTATTCCCCTCAAGAGAAACATACAAGTCAATGTTTTCATCCTCCAATATCAAGTCCCGCCTCTTGTACGGTAGGTATGCAAGCTGCATATTACACATAAGCAACCATAATCAGATAAAAGAAGGTGCAAAAAATGAGGGGTGTAACCCTGGTATCTAGAGGCTCGCTCTGCCTCTTAAAGAGTTCCAGAATAGGACAGTATTAGACATAAAAGTCATAATGCAACATTTATACAAGAATAAAGTCCTAGATCAAAAATTCTCAAAAAAAATCTCAAAAAAAAAGTTAAAATAAAAAATAAAAAATCACAGACCAAAAGGAAAATAGATTGCCAAAAAAAAAAAAAAAAAAATTCGAACAAATTCGTTCTAAGTACCTCTTCTTCTCCAAAGGAATGTCTCCTCCTTGGACCTGGGCGGTGAGAAATCCTTGATGGCTGTGGAGCTTTTGTGGAAACCAAAATTAACTTTGTCAACCGCTGTATTCTGCCCAATAGAGCTGCTTTAGCTTCTTCTTCTTGTTCCAATCTTGATTGCAGTTTCACTTGACCATCTTCTAGCTTTACATATCAAATCAAATCAAGGAAATAGTGTCATAATAATGGTTATTAGTCAGACTAAATGTATCAGACCATTATGCATTAATTAAGTGAAAAAATCATGTCCAAGATTGGGACCCGAGATTAAAAGAGAAGGAGAAAAGCAAAAACAAGTAACAAATGATGATGACCATGCACTGAGAAAAGGACAAGAATTAAACAAACTAACTCTGAGATCAAACATGACATAAATTAAATCTTCCAGTTATCTATTGAATATTTTATAAAATAAATAAAGAATCTTTTAGTGATGGTAGAACTCTTTATGAAGTACCTTCTGCTTGAGGAGGACAATGTCATCTTCTACGATGTCCTTCAATTGAGGAACTTTCCCAATACCCCTTTTCAATTGTTCTAGCTCTTCCTTTAAGGAGCGTATCTCATTTTGGTACTTCTTGATAAGCGATTTCTCATCAATAATCTGCAAATTGTTGAATCATTTCAAATGTTAGCAAGCGAGATTGTCTGAACGAATGCAAACAATCCAGGGAAAAATACCTTGTTCTGTGCTGCTTGAATCTCAATGTGCTTTGCACGGTGGGCAAATTTTAAAGTATTGTGCGTCTCTTCTGAACTACTTGATGAGGGAGTGACAGTGCAAATGAGCTGAATATTCAGACAGAAATGAAAAATGGGTCACATAAACGCAAGTGGCATTTGTTCCGAAGGGCAATAATGTGAGTATCATGCATCATACAACCGGAAGGTCTGTGTTTGTTTGGGGGAAAACAAGTTTCTTTTCCGGTGTTTATTTTGCATTTAGGAAAAAAGTCAACAAAAAATGATTTCCAGTCAACGGAAAATGATAAGAGTATTTTTTGGGAAAATGTTTTCCCAGTTTCAAAAGAAGAAAACATTTTCCTTCTCATAAGATATCTCGCTCTCATGTTACTTACCTCTCTCAAAATATTTTAACAATTTTTTCTCTATCTATTTTTTATTTAAAATATATCAAAGTAATTTTTAATTATTTCTTATTAATTATTATTAATTATTTAATTATTTTTCTCTATTTTTAATAATATTTGATTTTTTTATTTATAGATACATTAAATATTCTTAAAAATCATTTTTAAGCCTTAAAATTATTTTTATAATAAATATTTCAATAATTTATCTCTATTTTTCCTACTATTATTTCAAACACCGCCTAAACTATACTAAAAACTATTAGAAATAATTATTACAAGACTATAATTTTTTGTAAAAAAATTAAAATTAATTAATTCCTCAATAAATACGTTATTTTTTCAACACTATTCATTTGTAATTAAATCAATAATTTATAATCTTAATTAATTGTAAAATTTTATTGGAAATTGTAGTGAATAATTAGTTATAAATTATTCCAACATTAATCTTTTCAGACCAAATGAATAATTATGTATAAACGATAACTAATAATTTATAAAACTATTTTTCAAACTAAATTATCAATTCAATTTCTAAAAAAAAAAAAAAGAATTCTTAATTGAGTTACCAAAATAACAATGTTAGGATTACTTAAAATCTTTTTTTACTAAATATGAATATTGATTTGATTTTGTCCCAACTAATTTTGATGAATTAGTTTGATGGTTAAAAAATTACATTTTATTTTTTGAATTAAAATTTTAGGGTTAGTATTTATGAAAATTTATTAAATTTTTCTAAATGTATCTTATATTGTGAAATCATGAATATGTCTTTTTGAAGTTTTCTTAAAACTTGTTAATATAACAATCAGATATGTTTTTGTATTTTAATTTTCTGTATCAAACAAACAACTGGAATATATTTATCGGTAGTTTTTTCATGTAATTGCCAAACGGCAGAAAATATGTTCTTGGAAAACAATTTCCTGAAAAATAGCTTCCTCGGAAATTGATTTTCCTATGAAACTTGTTTTCCCGCAAACAAACAAAGCCGAAAAGTACTTTCTTTTAGCAAAATCAATCAAGCACTTACTGATACACGCCCATGACCGCTTAATGAAGACTGAAGAAGCCTTGTCAATTTAGAATCCCTGTATGGAACATGAGTGGCTCTCCCATCTGTCAACTTCGATATAACCTATGCAAGTCACAAATTGCAAATTCCAAGATAAGCTTATCCGTACAATTTAAACATTTATGATAGTAAATTATTTGGGAGAATCAAATGAAGCACATAACTCCTTTTGACTAGGAATTATTATGGCATAAAAGTGACAGTTCATTTAATTATAAATAACGGGAACCTAATTGATGATTTCCATTAAGGAACAAGAACTTGCCAAAATGATCAGGCAGCTGACAGGTGAAAATCCGATGTTCTAAAATGGGAACATTTATGTGCAATCAGCGTATGGGTATGCATGTGCATGAGCAGGTGGAAGGGACAAAGAAAGGGGAAGAAAAGGATAGAGGTGATTCAGATATTGGCACAATAATAGAACATATATATCAAATTACAACATTAAGTCCCTAATGCACATGGACCTAGAAGCATGAAAAGATAGCTAAAACAAATCAATCAATCCTGAGGTAACCCAGTGACATTGGTTTCTCATTTTCTATCATACTCCTGACTGGGTAATTCATCTAATAGAACAAGATTACTAGAAACCAAAAATAATCAAGAATAATAAAAACACAATGTAAGGCAGCAAGCTCATCCGTTCAGTTTAAGAGTCAACTATTGGCAGCAAATTCCAAAACACGAAGCTATAAGCTTGATAAATAATATATTTTCTATGTGATGGTTTTCAAATTATATATCATGAAGAAGGTGGTCAACTATTGTTGCGTGGACAAATAATAAAGGTATAAGAGGCCTCACAGTTCCAAGTGTCAGCAAACTTTTATTAATATAGGATCCTTCTTTCCTTCTCACACCAGTAGTTTCAGCCTTTGAGCTTTCAGAACCTGCCAGATCGATGAGGTTCTGCAGGTATAAGTAAAATTTCAAGAAGTTAAAAAGAATTTATTGACATCAAACATAGAAAGCAAAATCACTAATAATGGTAAATCAAGGGGAAGAAAGAGTCGTTGTGAATTGTAATTCAAGAAATGGAAAAATTCCAACAACAAACTTAAAAAGGTGACCAACAAGTCTGTTGACATCAGTTCTAGATAAGCATTAGAAATTACCAGCTGGGACAAATTTACAGCCTCTCCTTCGCTATTTTCACCATACAGGCTACTCTCTATTGTCTGTATTTAGAATAGTTAGAAGCAGTTAGTGGGGAAGGATATAACCCAATGAAATGAAAATATAAATGACTAAGTTATCATTAATTGATGAAATGCAATATCCTAAAACAGGGTTGAAAATGATTTCTGCAATACTTAAAGTTGTGACAAGATTGAAAGCAGGATTAACATTCAACTATACCCCACTAGGCATCTTTTTGTTTAGAAGGTGACCCCAAACATGGAATTAATAATCATGAGCAGAAAACATACTCTTAAGGCCAACACATCCATGCAATAAAAAAAGTAAAAAGTCATGAATTAGGTTGTGAACCGTAAAAGGAAAGGGCCAAATATATTTTGATGATGACAAGTTATGAATAATGTTAATTTAAGCAAAAGATGAAAACATGAATTATTAAATAAGTAGTCTTTATCTCTTCCTTGTCCAAGCTCAGTTATAGAAGGAGGAGAAGGTATCAGCAACAACAGGTTTCAATATGGGGCAGCTCAGAGCATATGGAGATTGATAAGAAAGAACTATTAACATTGAGGCATGGCTACCTTCGAGCAATCTAAAAGAAGGTACAGAGATTGATCTATGACATTTTTATTTTTATTATAATAATTATTATTATTATTATTCGCACTCAAAGGCAAATGAGTAATTCAGCAATTGCCAAAAAAGATTGGATATTGATCACTGAGTGAGCAAATGATGATAAGATTGGACATTAACAAGTTTGTTAAGTGAATATTCAAATGTTTCAGGGAAAATGGATAAGTTTAGGCAGGTTGGTGAATATGCATGTGCAAGTTTGTCGGTTACGTATATGCTAGAAAGATAAAACCATCACTTGCAAATGCAATATAATATAAGAAACATGGAAAGCTTAGAATTATCTTGAAGAAAGAGCATAAGAAATGCAACAATCAACTAAAGCTGTATGAGGACAGTGGAATACCAGTGTAAATATTGTATGGCTCCTGCTGCTGAGTAAATTAAAGTTTGTGGACCCAACATGTCTGTGCTCTGTATCAAAAGGAAAATCCCAATCAGAAAGTGTGGAAAAAATTGTGGTATCATGAAAAAAGACATTGCAGTCTTGCTACACATACAGGGAGGGAGAGGGAGAATCAAATAGCATCTGCTGTAAGGCAAACAAGTTGCACACCAATTTATAATCTTTTCTACAGGTTAACTTTCAACAAAACTGCTATTACATTAACTTCCACAGTTCTACCAGCCTAATTGATGCATGCCAATTTTAAAAGGATACGATATTGATAATTTTTCCATAGATGTCAGTTCATTGCTTGCATAAATGATTCAATTTAAAGGGCTACATGCCGATTAGAGTTTCAATTATATAATTATTTAGAAACCAGAACAGTAGCGTAAGAAACTTTGGTTTTATATAAAGCTACAATCCTCTTGCTTTTTCTTACTTCATGTGATGTGACTTGAGAGTTACCTTCTCCAGTCGCTATAAGGGAAAGGACATGAGCAGGGGATAAAACAACTTCTTCTTTTATTCCCTCGACAAAGGTTCCCTACAAGCAAGAATCAAAATAAATTAAAACATGCTTCTTTCTAACATCTAAGAAACTGCCATCTTTAGATCAATTAGCTGGCCATATCACTAAGGAAACCATTAAATTTCTACCATTTACTTGCCTGTTTTTCATTAAGTTCCACCCTCCCCCACCCCCACCCCCACCCCACAAAAGAAAAAAATTATTTCTAGGACAGAACACGAGGGTTAAGATACGATTAGAGTACTCAAATGATCTACAATGACTCTCATAAAAGTAGAATCAGTGGTCCAGAAGAGCGTCGCAATTGCCCAGCCAGCACATGACTATTTGGTCCATTGCAGGTCCTCCTCAACCACAAGGCCATATCACCTCAGCAGAAAATAAAAATCTGCTGATTCTGAATACCAACTGTTCCCTGCAAGTGTGGATAGAGTTGCTCCATAGATGCAAAGCCAAATTACTCCATATAACACAGATGCTTCACAATCCCATGCCTTGACCAAGAGATGTGAACTGATATAAATAATGAAACTGCAAACTCAATACCCACAGAAGCAAAACCAGAATGAGACATCCAGAAAAAGCCCATTCCACCTAGAGAACCAAGCAGACTTGCAGCTTGTACCGTAAGATTTATACATATTCCAAGACCTTGCACAATTTATCATACAGTAAATGGAGCTCCCAGCTACAGGTAAAAGCTTACTTGATGCTGTGCCTCAGTAATAGAGAGGATGGGGCTTGCCATCATTATCATTATTAAATAAATAGTGCCTAACAACTTTTTCTTCATTGACATCAGCTCAACATTGATTTAACAAGTGGCAAGACATCATCATGAGAACCTAGCTTCATTGGAACTTCATAAAGTTCAAAGACCATGGTGCCAGCTTTGTGTTGATATGGTCTCATAATATATGGAAAACAGTCAAGAAAATGGTGTCACCATGCGGAGCCTTTTGTGCACTAAACAATCATTAAATGCTCAAATACAGGCCCAAAATAGCCCCACTTGATTTATGTCATCCAGACAGGAAAATGAGGCACTAAAAGCTGAAATACCTCTGCCAACTACATCAACGAAGTCAGAGGCATTAGGGCAGACTACTTGACTCCATGATGTCAAGTCATAGAGCTGCCCCAATTGTAAGGTTATGGCCTCGCAGAAACTATAGCAAGATAAGAGAAGACTTGGACGCCCAAACTTTGCGCAAACTATATATATAGGATGGTAGTTGAGCCTTTCGGCTTGGTTTTCAGGCTTGATAATTGTTATGCATTTATCAATAGATTTTATATTTAACGTAAGAAAAGTTCGAAGCTATTAAAGAAATAGTTTAGCAAATTGCAGTCGAACGTGCAACTGCAAATAGTTAATTGTATTCTGGTATTAAAAAAACTGAAAAAGTTATCCATGAGCATGATAGTATCAATGTGGAAGGCAGCATGGAAAAAGACAATACGGAGTTGACAAGCAAGTACCTGAGCATCTTCTCTTATTCTTAAATTTTGTCCTGCCGGATTCAACAAGTCATTGACAACCTGAAAAGACGAAAACCAAAGAATAATGTTGTAAAAAGGAGCGGCAGTGGAGCTAGCTCAAATCAAACAATAAAAGGTAATAATAAGGCAGTACATCGCATCACTATTAAGCCAGTAGCTAGAGAGAACAGGAAGACGCTGACCTCATTATAGATCTCCAAGTATGAAACACGGAGGAGGAATTCTCGGTTTGGGGTCTAGGGCAAAGAGAATTATTAAATCACTAGCATTCAAACAAGGATCAAATAGAGTCATACAGGGAGGTTAAATTCATTGTAAAGTACCTCTTGAATGATACTAAAAGCATCCTTCACTGCTAATGGTATAATTCCAGGTGACCTTTGATCCCCCTGCCATTGTTATATGGATCAACATAAGCATAATGTTTTTAACGCTAGTAAACAGGCCATGAATAATGGCACCTCAATTACACAGACAATAACCACAAATATACATCCCAAAGAACACGAGGCATTTCTATTTAATTTTCCATGTGTTGCAAGCAGGGAAAGATTTATAGGTTGTTCTTTTTTTCCTTATAGCAGTCAGAGAATGATCAGCTACGAGATTTAAGGCATGGAGATATGCACCCTTGGATTTGTATATATCTAAAAGGTAAATATTAGGAATAGAAGGCATTTCTATTTAATTTTGCATGCATCATATATGCATTGCAAGAGTACAGCAGAAAAGTAGTGTCTCAGGTATTAAAATCTCACATGCATGGTATGGGTTTTCCCGCTGCTTGTCACTCCATATGCAAAAATCGTGCCTGCAAGAGCATGTAAAAACAAAGGTAAAACACTTTAACCTTAAAATGAATGCAGAAATTGGAGTTCCTAAGCAAAGGGATATCCATTTTGTTTACCATTGATTCCTTCCATAGCACCATTGACAACATGCTGAGCAGCAACATCATATACATGACGTGTTGTAGTTGTAGGACCAAACACCCGATCTAAAAGCATGGGAAAATAAATAAATAGACACAAGAAAGGAATGAATATCTCTTATATATAACACGTTTTAACAGCTATTATCCCCAAACAAAAAAAAAAAAAAATGCCTAATTGCTTGTTAATTAATGCTGGGTAGCAAAAAGACCAGAATTTTTTGCTTTCCTTTTTTGATAATGTTTCTGGAATGAGAGGATAAAAATCCCTGAAGCAAGAACTATCTCCTAGAAACTCCAAAGAAGATATATCCATATAATCAGAACAACAATGTTTTTAAAGTGGAATAAAGCCTTCTATCGATCAATTATTGAAATTGAAACACAAAGCCAGCCCATCTCCAGTGAGTTCTTACATTCGCTACCATGACGTGACAACTACGGAATATCATTCAGAGTTTTGCAAAAGGAAAACATTTCACAAACACAGAACCTTTGAATTGATTAGCCTACGATTATGGACTTAGGACAATTTCGTCATGTCAGTTCCATACACTCATACCACCAACTCTCCATTACATGGCATTAACTTCTTCAAAATCACCATAAAAGACACCTCTCAATCAAAAAGCACATTTTAACTTAAATGCCACTACCTATTCACACATTAAAGAATCTCTAAATGCATCCAGCTTACACTATCCATACCATTCCAATTAAAACAATCAAAACTAACTCTCCTAAACAAACAAATTACATACATTCAAAGATATCTTAACAAATTACCATAGGCATACGCGATAGATGGATTATGTTCATTTCGCACGATAGTTTCTCCATCTGCATACCACGCAATCTCCTCTCCTTGCCTAATTTCCCTAGGACTAAACCAAAACAAAAAATCAAACCACAAATTAGCAAAAACAAGTACTTATTAACAAAAAAATTTACATAAACTTTACAAAAATGCACAAACCTTAAGGGTCGAAACCGGACAGTAACAGTTACATTTTCTTTGGATCTCTCAGTATCTAAATTAACACTTTCAGAGTAACAATACTGTGGTTTGCTTCGAGCTGAGGAGGATGCAGGTGAGCTTTGACCGTCAATAGAAGTCTCTAAAAATTGCTTAGAAGATGATGTTGTCGATGATGATGGTGAATTCGCTGTTGCTTTCTTTGAATTATTTATTAAACCTAATCTTCTTGATTTTGATCCCTGTTTCGTCGCCATTTTTAAATAATCCAAAGCCACTCCTTCAATTAACTGTAACAACAGGAGAAAAAAATACTTGAAAAAATCAAGTTATTTAAGTAATTAACGATTCTGCTTGGAAGCAGAAGAAAAATGAAGAGAAAAGGAAAAGCATAAAGGTAGCTCTGTTTGTTTCCTGACAAAAAATATTAACAGCAGGAGAGTAAGAGATTGTTACCTTAGAAATCAGAGGAGCAGCATTGTGGAATAATAAAAAAAGAATAAAGAGAGAGAGAGAAGAACATGCAGAGGAAAGAAAATGAGAGAGATCTTTTTGGATCTGTTAAGAGAAAGAAAAAGAGCGAGAAAGAGGGACGGAGAGGGAAGCTAGTGAGGGTGAAAGAAGAACATCATCATAATCACTAATCATCAGTATGATGGACCCCCTTTTACTTTCTTTTACTGCTGTTTTTTTTTTTTTTCTCAATATGCTTTCTATTTTTTCTTGCCTTGGAAGCGATGCGATGCCCCCAATCCAAGGCTAATTGCATTTTCTCTCCTTTTTTGTTTTTCCGGTCTTTCACTTTTAGAAAAAAAAATAATAAATAAATAGGGTTACCGATTGAGTGAGACCACGTCTTTGACCATACACTCAAACAGGAAATATTGTGTTTATAAATCTGTAATAACTTTATCTCTACTAAGCTGGCATTGAAATTTAGGGTATTTGTATCCAGACTCTTGTTGGTATCATACAAAAAGATGTAAATTATGTGTCCTTTTTCAAAAGTTTATAACTATGTATTTTTATCGTATGTTGGAAACAATTAGTCGAATAAAAAGCTCATGAAAGCTTATAATATTATTGATTAATAATAGCAAAATAAAATTTTATACTGATCTTAGATTTAAAATTCAGCAATGAGTCGGAAAGTCCTATTGAATATTTACATATAAAAAAATATATACGTGATTAAAGTGGTTAAAAAATACAATCTCTTAAACATTATAAATACAGAAAGAAAGAAAGAAAGCGAAAGAAACAAGGATTGGCCTGGCTGACCACTACGGGTCTCAACTCTCATGAAGGTTAAAGTTGTGACAGTGAAAAGAATTTACAATTACCGGATTTCTTTAATATTATAAATATGAAAAAAAAATGAAAGGGAGAAAAAAAAACAAGACAGAGAGAGAGAGTTGACGAGGAACAAGGACGCGAGTCACAGGAGTCGCGTGTGAGGGGTGGTCGAGGGTGGAGCTGCAGTGGGTGGGCCCATAGGGAGTTGTAAACGTGTCGAGTGTAAAAAGCTTGCATACCTGATTTGTCAACGACTTTCTGTTAATTTTTTTCTTATTTGTTGACCCTATAACTTTCTGATTATTAAAATCAGATAATTTTGTCAACAAATTGGTTGGTGACTTGGTGCAGTCGTGAGTGAACTTCTCATGCAATGCTCATTCGACGACGCTGAAAGTTAGTGACATTTTACATCTTTTATCTAGTTTTTACTTTTAATACCAAAAAAATAAAATATTTTTTGTTTAATTACATCCTCTAAGAGCCTTTTCATTTTTAGTACCAAAAATACATTTACATCCTCTACCTATTCTTTTACTTTTAATACTAATAATAAAAAATAATATTTTGTTAAGTATGTTATTTTTATTGGTTGAGAATTCAAATTTCGCTGATTGCAGTTTGTAGTTAGTGATATATTTACATCTTCTACCTTTTTTTTTAACTTTTACTTTCAAAAAAATAAATATTTTTTGTTTAAAACGCGTTAGTTTCATTGTTACAGATGTGATTATTTTCTTTTTCTTTTATTTATTTATTTATTTATTTATCTCTAACATAGCGTTTGGAAAAGTGGAAAGTGAGAGAAATGAAAATAACGATGAAAAACATTTATTTCAAGAAGAGAGGAAAGATGAAGGAAAAATTGCTCAAGGACCTATCAAAAATCAATCTCTCCATTTTGGAGAGAAAGGGATAGGAAAATGTTTACAATTGCTCGCATTAACCTTAAAAAAAATAATAATAATAAACTACAAAAATAAATATGTAATTGCTTCGACTTTCTGTATACATTCATTTCTTTTAAATTCCCCTCATTTCTTTTAAATTCTCCTCCATCCGAACAGAAAAAAGAAAGAAAGAAAATTGTTCGCTCTTGATTTAATGATAAAAATAACTCTCAAACTATTACGATTTGACAATTTCAAATTTTTATTATTAATTTAAATTAATTAAACTCTAAACTATTTTTTTTATATAAATGGGATCCTTAACCATTGTATTTGATGGTCAAAGGGTTGACATCAATGATCACTTCTTTGACTATTAATATTCTAGTTTTTTTTAAAAAAAATTATTAACTTAGTCAATATAATTTACATAAAATTACATAATGGCTATTTGTTAGATTTTAAAATTAATAATACTCATTAAAAAAATTTGAAAGTACAAATAATCAAATACAAAAAAAATAAAAATATAATTTTTTTTGTCGACATAACCATCAAATTGACTAGGTTAGAAATAAATAAAATATTTAAATCTAATATTAATTAAATTATTGTTAGTATAAATTTTTAATTTTTTAATCAAATATTTATGTTAAAATTCATATTGATAAGGCCATTAAATTAACAATAATATAAATAAAATAAAATATTTAAATCTAGTATTAACTAGATTGTCGTTAATGTAAATTTTTAATTTTTTTCAATTAAGTATTTATATTAAATTTAGGTTAACATAACTATTAAATTAATACATCAAGCATACGAACTCGTCAATCACATGAGTATGAATATTTTATTTTATTTCTAATCGATGGTTTGTATTTTTTATTTTTTATTTAAATATATATTTTTTTATTTTTTATTTTGATAATATGTACTTTTAAAAAAAATTATGAGTATTATTAATTTTGAAATCTAACAAATAGTCACTATGCAATCTTATGCATATCATATTTTACCTAAATTAACTAATTTTTCTATAAAAAAATAAAATGTTAACGATCAAAAGTCTAACCGTTAAAAATAACGAGATAAAGATTATATTTATCAAAAAATAATAGTTTGCAATTAATAAAGACTCAAAATTGTCAAATTGTAATAGTTTGGAGAGAATTTTTGCCATCGAACCTTTTTATCTCCATTAACTTTTCTTTCCCATCTCATTTTTTCCCAAACACATCGTAAAAGAGATCATGACATCAATTAAGTGGGAATCAAAAAAACTGAAAAAAAAAATTCAAAGTTATTAAAATAAATGTTATTTTTGAAAAAAACTAAAGTTTTGTCTCTGAAGTCTTATTTGTCTTCTCACTCACTTGTTTGATATTGATACTGAAGAGTAATTAATTGCTAATTTGCTACATTATTATTATTATTTTATTCATTAGAATCACATAGGTCGGTGGAGTATATAATAGAAGGTAGTTTTTTTTATTATACAATCATAAAAAAAATTAAAATCACTAAAACTCGAATTTTAGTTTACTAGAAAAGGTAAGTGAGTACCCAACTATTAGGCTAAACTTGGTTGTGTTGCTACATTGTTCTTTAATTGCTTAATTGATTTGTGTTTTAGATCACTCATGAGTTATTATATAGTTGATTTATTTATTTAACATGTAATATTTGATTTTGTCTAGAGGAGCAACGTGATGATTAATTTAGAATTGTACTTGAAAGTTTTGGAATCAACTTCTTAAAAAAAGATTAGGTAGCAATTTAGAAATTAAAAAAAAAATGCTTTGTATAGTTTAAAATCTATTAGGGTTGTGATTGGACTGCAATAATAATAATAATAATAATAATAAGTTAATTAAAATGATAGATAGGGAAGTAGTATTTCACAAGAAACAACAACAACAATAATAAATTATTGGTCGTTGGATTAATTGATTTCACTGATAACCTCTATATTGGTAACGTGATTGGATTACCAACATTTTTTCTTATAATCTATTTTTATCAATTTTTTTGCGTGGAATAAAACTATTCTTTTAGAGATCTTGATTTTAATCAGGCTCCAAGCTTGCATGTTTTTGAAAGCATCTCCCATGGCCATTATGGTCTTTCGCCCATACAGTAGTGAGGTTGTTTCCACAATGAAGATCAGCAATCACATTCATCTAATGGTTGTAATTTTAAGGAGCAAGATAACAATTATTCAACCTACAATTCGGCATGGACAATTGATCAATGCAACTCGTTGATGCGGTGGTCATCATCAAACCTAAAAGAATTAGGTAAAAAGGTTTTTTTTTTTGGCTGGTGGGGCCTCTTGAATTAGGCAATCGCATTGGTTGAGTTTGAAGTAGGTCATATTGGCTCAACCTAAAATGTATCCTTTTCAGCAGCCTGCTGGCTTTCACCCTTCTGATAACACTTTCAAAAAACGTTTTATGTCTGTTGTTCTAACAATAATGCTGAAGTGATTGAATTCAGCTTTGATATATTGGCCTGAAGCGATTGTCAATATAATTTTCAAACAAACAATCTTAGTTTTAACGATTGTGAATATATATATATATATATATATATATATTATTTTCGTTTATTTTAGATATATGTTGTCAAATAATCTTAATTTTAAATATTTTTTGGAAATAAATTATGTTGACCATGCTTAGAAATTACTCATACTTAAGCTTATTAACAATTCTAGTCTAATGTTATTATAACTAGTTTATTGTTGGTATTACGTTACAATTCAAATAAAATATGTTAAATTATTTTTAAAAATTATTCTAATTTGATAGTTCATGATATGTTATGGGTCTACTAATATATATTGAATCAATATATAAAAAAAAACAAAACAATCATCCAATTTTATAAATTTTCAATCAAAAATTTTAGCATTTAATTAATTCTTTCTTATTTTTTTCATAAATTTTCTATGTAAAAAAAAAACATGATTTGTTCTTCTTTATGCATTAATTCTTATATAAAAACTTATAATAATCTAAATCAAAAGTTTAATCAATTTTTTAAAAAAACATGCCTTAATATTTTTT